GCCGAGAACTGATTGCGAAGCAAATTATTAACCATCTAAACACCACTCCCTATGCTCTCCACCCTATGCAGTTTAGCTTTAGAGCAAAATACTCCACCGAGACTGCGACTTGTTTCCTTACTGAAAATATAAGAGCTCTGTTAGATCAAGGTGGGGTTGTTGGCGGTATTTCTGGATCTCAGGAAGGCTTTTGACACTGTTAATTATAAAATTTTACTGACAAAATTATGTAATTTTAATTTTTCCTCAGATGCACTTAAATGGGTTGAGTCTTATCTCACTGACCGTTCCCAGCATGTCAGAGTTCAATCATCTAAATCAGCGGCCTTGAGTCTGTCCACCGGTCTTCCTCAGGGATCTAATTTAGGGCCTCTGGTTATTCTCCATTTATATAAAGACCTCCCACTCGCTGTCCTGATGTTTTTGTGCAGATGTATGCTAATGACACCATAGTCTATGCACACGGTAGGAATATCGCTCAGGTGGTTGAGAAGCTCACTAACTCCATGGATAGCATCACAGCTTGGTTGAAACCTCCTGCCTGCAGCTGAATACATCAAAACAGTAGCAATGTTTTTTTACTAAGTCCCACAAAAACTTCAGTGTTGAGCCAGATATTTTTGTTTCAGGGGAAAAATTGCAGATCGTGTCAGAATACAAATATCTGGGAGTTTTATTCAAAGTTATCATCTTCATCACATGTAAAATGGTCTGTAATCGAATTAAATATAGTCTCAGAAACTTTAGACACATTCGCCATCAAATGTCCACACAGGCACAAAAATGTACATGCACTCTATGATTTTCTCACACATCACTTACTGTCTACCCATTTGGCACAAGCTAGTATTACATCTTTGAAACCTCTGCAATCACTTTACAAAAACTGTTAAACTCTGGATAAGAAACCATGTATTTCTCATCACTGTCCATATTACAAAAATATAGATTGCTCAGTTGGGATAATATGGTTAAATACTCAAATCTATGTCTTATTTATAAAATTATTCATGGTTTATCTTCCCCTCCCTCCACACAGTTTGTCAATACCCGAACAGCTGATTCCTGCAGGACCAGAGGTGCAGCTAGGGGAGATTGTATCATTCCCTTTAGGAAAAGTGTATTTGGTCATACTGCTTTTTCTGTTCTAGCTGCTGCTGAGTGGAACCTCACCCCATAATTATCAGAAATATAAACACGTATAGTTCATTTAAGATTCAGTTAAGGAAATGGCTTATTGATCATCAGAGCTGTCAACATTAACCTATTACTACACATGCCCTTGATGCACACTGTTGACTTTTTTTTTTGTTTTTTTTTCCTTATGTGTGTGTCATGTTTTACGTGATGTTTGTCCGATTGTTGTTTTGATGTGTTTAGATTGTATATTTAATATAATTGATATTTTACTAAATGTTCTTAATTTTTTAGTGCTATATACTATGTAATCTTTTTTAGGGTGACTCTTAACATCTGTCTAGGGACTGCAGATGAAAAATAGCCTTTAGGCTAATTCTGGCATATTGACAGAAATGTTTATGAATATGCACTGTCCCTGTAATAAAAAATAAACAAACATACAGGCATAGTTTGACACCATTAAAACTTAAACACTTACAATCGTATTTTTTAAAAGAATTAATAAGGAATAACATATTTCATACGTGTGTAACGTGATTCAATGACAATTACATGATTTATTATGCCAACCATGAGAGTGCTTTGTCTCATACAAGTTTTCTTTCGGCAGCGCAGAGCTTGGTTTCATGCAGTACCTAGCCGTACCAGTTGCCATAAATCACAACATGTCATGATCTCATTCTTGGCTTCAGTTCGCGATGATCTCAGCCCTGCCGTACGTGACTTTCTGCATGTGCCTGCTTCTAATGACGGTTACGGTTGGCTAGGTTTTGCCTGCGCGGCCTGAGCAGCTTCTCTGCTCATTAAAAAGCACACGTTCATGAATACACAGAGTATAGGAATAATGTATGATAAACACACAGAGTATAAGAATAAAATATGAGTTTAAACTCACTCCCTAAACACTCAGTAGTTATACACTCAGTAGGAATAATGTATGATAAACACACAGGGTATAAGAATAAAATATGAGTTTAAACTCACTCCTTAAACACTCATTAGTTCTCATCACTGTCCAATATTACAAAAATAGATTGCTCAGTTGGGATAATATGGTTAAATACTCAAATCTATGTCTTATTTATAAAATTATTCATGGTTTATCTTCCCCTCCCCTCCAACAGTTTGTCAATACCCGAACAGCTGATTCCTGCAGGACCAGAGGTGCAGCTAGGGGAGATTGTATCATTCCCTTTAGGAAAAGTGTATTTGGTCATACTGCTTTTTCTGTTCTAGCTGCTGCTGAGTGGAACCTCACCCCCATAATTATCAGAAATATAAACACGTATAGTTCATTTAAGATTCAGTTAAGGAAATGGCTTATTGATCATCAGAGCTGTCAACATTAACCTATTACTACACATGCCCTTGATGCACACTGTTGACTTTTTTTTTTTGTTTTTTTTTCCTTATGTGTGTCATGTTTTTACGTGATGTTTGTCCGATTGTTGTTTTGATGTGTTTAGATTGTATATTTTAATATAATTGATATTTTACTAAATGTATCTTAATTTTTTAGTGCTATATACTATGTAATCTTTTTTAGGGTGACTCTTAACATCTGTCTAGGGACTGCAGATGAAAAATAGCCTTTAGGCTAATTCTGGCATATTGACAGAAATGTTTATGAATATGCACTGTCCCTGTAATAAATAAATAAACAAACATACAGGCATAGTTTGACACCATTAAAACTTAAACACTTACAATCGTATTTTTTAAAAGAATTAATAAGGAATAACATATTTCATACGTGTGTAACGTGATTCAATGAACAATTACATGATTTATTAATGCCAACCATGAGAGTGCTTTGTCTCATACAAGTTTTCTTTCGGCAGCGCAGAGCTTGGTTTCATGCAGTACCTAGCCGTACCAGTTGCCATAAATCACAACATGTCATGATCTCATTCTTGGCTTCAGTTCGCGATGATCTCAGCCCTGCCGTACGTGACTTTCTGCATGTGCCTTGCTTCTAATGAGCGGGTTACGGTTGGCTAGGTTTTGCCTGCGCGGCCTGAGCAGCTTCTCTGCTCATTAAAAAGCACGCGTTCATGAATACACAGAGTATAGGAATAATGTATGATAAACACACAGAGTATAAGAATAAAATATGAGTTTAAACTCACTCCCTAAACACTCAGTAGTTATACACTCAGTAGGAATAATGTATGATAAACACACAGGGTATAAGAATAAAATATGAGTTTAAACTCACTCCTTAAACACTCAGTTAGTTATAACATATTGCAAACCATTGATAAGGTGTATTAATATAGAAAAAGAAGGTGTATAAATATAGAAAAAGAAGGTGTATAAATATAGAAAAAGAACCTAACAATCAATCTAGGAATTAGGCCTTATGCAATCAATCTAGGATTTAGGCCTTATTCAACAGGAACCAGCAGATGGCAGGATTTGTTTTGCCATATGCTGGGACCCAATGACCAGGATTTCTGTTTTGTCTGAGTTCAGCTGGAGGAAATTATTTGACATCCATTTTTTAACTTCACAAAGGCAGTCGGTAAGTGAACTGGTCTGTGGATCTGACAGGCAAGTACATTTGTGTGTCATCAGCATAAATATGAAAAGAAATGCCATGTTTATGAATAATATGTCCAAGGGGAAGCAGGTACAAGGAAAACAAAATGGGTCCTAAGACCATCCCCTGAGGCACACCATATTTAACTGGACAGAACGAAGAGACATAGTTGTTTACAGACACGCAAAACTTCCTATAACTGATAAGAGCTACTAGCGTCAAGGCTTTTGTTGCAGCACGAGACTGCCTCTCTACAAATGTTTGACTACCTGGTGAACGACAATGGCCTGGAGCTGCACAAGCACCTAGACTTTATAAAGGAACAGATTGCTAGATCACCGGACGCTAATGCAGCTCAAGGCCAGAAGGTACCATCCACTTCTGCCTGTGTGAAATCATCATTGCTCCAACAGCCAATTTGTATAGAAAATAACTTATAACACTTTAAGATCTTTAAGATGTTTATACCAACTTTCCTCGGACATGCACTCTCTTAACTTGGAACCGGTTCTTGATACCCTATGATATATGAGATATGATGGTGCCTGACCATTAAGGGCTTTGTAGGTGAGCACAAGGATTTTAAATTATATTCAGGATTATACAGGGAGCCAGTGCAGAGAAGTGGTTGTGGGAAAAATGTGATCTTTTTTAGCAAAAACACATCAAAATTGGAACAACTATAAACTACCAACTATTTCTTAATAAATAACCAGAAATAATCAAATTTTTTTATTTTATTTTTTATTTTTTTAGGTCATTTTCGAATGTACATATTATATAAGGAGGAAAATGGAACACCTGGAGAGGTGGTGAAGAGGTGAGAAAATTGAACAGCATAACAGGGCACATAGAAACAAACATCCACTCACATGTAAGCACAATTTAGAGTCACCAATTAACCTGCATGTCTTTGGACGGTGGGGGGAAAGCCGGAGCACCAGGAGAGAAACATACAAACTCCACGCAGAAACGCAGACGACCAAAGTTTGAACCCTGGACCTTCTTGCTCTGAGGTGACAGTGCTAACCACTGCACCACCGTGCTGCCTGCTTTTAGGTATTGTTTGTTTTTTTAGGCAAATTTAGAATCTATATTATAAATATGTTTTATGATGTAGGGGAAGCCGGAGCACCCGGAGAGAACCTACGCAGACACGGGGAGAAACATACAAACTCCACACAGAAACGCAGACGACCAAGGTTTGAACCCTGGACCTTCTTGCTCTGAGGTGACAGTGCTAACCACTGCACCACCGTGCTGCCCTGCTTTTAGGTACTGTTTGTTTTTTTTAGGCCAATTTAGAATTAGAATTGTTTTATGATGTAGGGGAAGCCGGAGCACCCGGAGAGAATCTGCACAGACACGGGGTAAAACATAGAAAGTCCACACAGAAACGCAGACAAAAATCAGAGTCAGGCCCAGATTTGAACCAGCACTTTTTTGTGGTAGGTTGGATTTTTCCCAGCCTCACAGGTGAGCTAAGCGTCGTATGTGCGGAGGGCTCTTGGTCGATGTTATCTTTCTCAGCCTTCATCGCGGTGCCCGCACTTTCTAAAGCTTTTTTGCTGTTCAACTTTTCATTGAGCTCCTGGACCTCTTGTCGAAGTACGTCCTTTCCTCGGACCATGGCATCTTTTTCCATTGTCAGCGATTTATTCATGACCTCCAGCATTTGTTCACTTTGTAGTCTGGCGTAGAGCTCTTCAACCTCGAGTTGTAATGTGTGGTTTTGTTGGCTCAAGGCTTCATTTTCTTCTTTCATGACATTATTCTTGTCTACCAAAGCTTGTTCCTTTACAAGCCTTTTCTCCACCTTCTGAATTTCTTTTTTCAGGATGTTATTTCGCTGAGTTAGATTCTTTTTCTCTACTTTCATTGCTTTATACATTTCGTCTATGACGGTTTTGTTTTCCATCTCCTCAATGCGCTGTTTGATTTCTTGATGGAGTTCATCGTTGTGTCTTCTTAAGGCTTCAATCTCCTGTCTCAGTGGACCAAACTTGCCTTCATAGACTGGCATGCTATCACGCTTTGAGTAGAGCGAACGAAGTTCTTTAAGAAGCTCATTTCGTTTTGCAGAAACATCTTTTTTTTCTGATTTCAGGGCTTTATACTTGTCCTTCATGGCTTTTCTGTTCTGGATCCTTCTTGTAAGGCTCTGAATGAGTAGTTTGAGGTTTTCATTTTCTTGGCGCATAAATTCCATGACGTGCAACTTCTCCCCATACACGACACTGAACATCTTTTGATCTTCAAAATCTTTGTAGAGCTTCTGCTGTTGTTCTTTCAGTGCAGCGTTCTGCTGGCTGATGGCCACTGTTGACACTTCCATTTGATCAATCATTTCCTGCAGAGCCTTTTCATTACGGAGATCTTTGGCTATCTCCTGAATCTCTTGTCTCAGGTTGTCATTTTGCTGGCTAATCGCCACATTCTCTGCTTTCAGTTGATTATACATTTCATCCAAAGCATTTAAATTTCTGCACTTTTCTTTGAGCTCCTGGATCTCCTCTTGTATGCTGTAATTCTGGAGCCTCACGACCTCAGTTTCCTCCTTCATGACCTTACACATTTCCTCCAAAGCTGGTTCATTTTGGAGTTTTTTCCTGAGCTCCTGAATCTGTTGTTGCAGTGCCCCATTTTGCTGGCTTGCTGCTAAGTGCTCTGCCTTGATGTTCTTACACTTCTCATCCCAGGCTTTGTCAGGTCGCATATGGTTTAGCTCCTGAAGTTCTTTTCCCAAAGCTTCCTTGGCTATTAAAATGGCTTCTTTTGCCACTTTCACAGCCATGGGCATTGCATCCAAATCTTTTTGAGTTCGGCTATTTTCATGGTGCTCTGCCAGTTGTTTTTTCTGATCTTGTTTCGGATACCTTTGCAGTTGGATATTAATGCCTTCAAGTTGTTGAATGACTGCTTCTAAGTCCATATCCATTTTTCAACAAGTTTCTTTTTCTGGGCTCTGTACACGAAGCTCAGTTGTAAATGATTCAGGTGTTAGATTGAACAGTTGAAGTATTAAAATGTGTTCCCTCAGTGACTTTGATCTTTGGAATGTTGAAGATGTCATAAAGTACAGGCAGTGACATCACATTCCCCTCAGAATGGTGTTTATGACATCATCAACATTATGACATCGTCAGAATTCTGATTGATAAAGTACAGGAAGTGACAGAACCTTTCACACAGCATGGTGTTTATGAAACGGTAGAAAGACAGAGGAGGTGGTGATCCTTTGAGCAAATTTGAATCTACACATTTTTATACACAGAACATGTCCTCCTCTTTGTCTACGTTTTCTTACATAAGAAGCAATCAATCACTCCCAAAATTTGGAGGCAATACTATTATCCAACTGCTGGAACACAAACATCCTCACACATTAACCCTTTTTGATCTGCCCTGTCCAAACCTGGGCGAACGTCCCAGAGAAAAATAACATTTTACATATCGATTCTGTCCTTATATGTCGTACTCCATGAATCCTTGCATTTGGACCAGAAGAAATGTAGTAAAAACTGGAAATGCACGATACTGTAATGTAGAGATTTGTAAAAGTGAAGTTGATTTAATCAAGCAGAGGCCTTTCTTTTCCATTTAGTTCCCAAAATCTCTGCATGTGCCAAGACAATTTTCCTCTTTTAATATCTTAACATAATATAGACTACCCCTGGCAAAGTTTTTATTATTTCTGTTCTGTATAATTCTTTATTTCCCTTTATTTCTCTTTTTGCAATAAAGATTCAAGGAGAGAAAAAAAATCAGATTATTCCAACACAACTGAATGCATCATCAGTCATCACTCACTCCTCCCTTTGCAAGCACAGAGCAGCAGCTAAGGTGTCCGACACGCTTTGTCGGCTCTTGTGCTGAATATGTGGTCCTCTTATTTGTCCAAATTTCACTTCTCTTTTTACTTCAAACAAACCAGAAGACTACTACTGATTTACTTCGTACGTATTCAACGTAGTGACGAAACGCGCTCTGTAGAGCAGTTTGTCCTTTTGGGCTACTGTAGAAACATGGCGGTTTTCTCTAAAAACATACTGGTTCATTATGTATGTATGTTATTATGTCCTTATACACCACTGAAAACATAGTTATGGATATTATAGTGCATTTCTGTCAGTAGATCCCTATTATTATTTTATTAAAGGTTCAGTCTGTAATATTTAGAACAAGGAAATCAGTGACACAAGTTCACATCAGGCACTGAAAGCAGTGGCGCACCATATGACGCTTCTGTAGATTATTACTCAATTGGCACAAAATTTAGCCGCATAATGAAGAGTCTGATCTGGAAACTCCCATGTGTTTATGGTCATATTATGTGATTACAAGTCTGTTTTCTGTTGCAAATGTTTCTTCTTCCAAATGGAGGCATGACAGAAAAAGTTTGAGAGCCACTAATATTTGCACACTCTAATATCAAGACGTTCTGACCGTGCATCTATTATGCCCCACATCTAAAACATCCGGTCGCTTGATTTATTCCACAAGGCTAACAGAATAAGGAGAACTCTTACTTTGTGTTGAATTGTTCAAGAGGAATCTCTCTGGACTGGTCACGCTTCAGGGACAGACAGCTGGACACCGGAGACTCGGCTCTGCCCTCCTCGTCACTCGTCTTTCATCCAGCAGCACAGTCAGTGACACAAGCTGGTATATGTTGATACTGGTAGGCCTAACAAACAGACATCTTTCAAGACAATATTTTCATGACCTTTTATTTGAAAATAAATATTAAATGAATAGCATACAGATTTTTGTACATTCAACAACAAATGAATGCCGCTGAAACATGAGATTTGTGACACTGTATGTGCTAAAACCTTACACCCGCACTAATGGAGCTCAGGATTGATCTGGAGGCCGGCTGCTTTACTCCAAACAGTTTTGAATTGGACTGTGTGCCAGACCTTTTGGATGTGTAGAGGAACTCAAAATATTAATTGATCCTGTGTCGGGAGACTTAAATATGAAGTTATGCTGCTGTGCCTCCTCGTGCGTAAAAGCGCACAGCGTCTCTCTTAATGGGGAGACCCTTCACCCTATTTCACCCGCCCCGAAATTCACAAAATGTATCGTCCAAAATTCTGCCCGCAAGCAGCGGTGCACGCACAAGGTTTTCATGTGCTTCATGTGTTTTCCCAGAGTGGACACTGAGCTTGGAACAGTACTTCAAGTTGAAATGAGGGTAGCGACGGTCAGCTGCGCCCGCATGGCTTCCATTTACATTGATCGTGCTATCAATGGTTTTTATTCGAATGATTTTATACATACATGTAATTACGGAGGTCCGGACCTCGGTGACCTCATACGACCATGCTTGTAACCACTCTGTGCTGAAGGAAAGTGTGTAAGTGCGTGCCAGCACAGTCGTGTCATGCGTGCATTTCTACAGTGCTGCACCCCTAAGCGAAAATATCTTCATGCGCGCCTGCAAGCTCACGACAGACAGTTTTTAGTCTTCAAGTCCCTTTGTGCTTCTACGGAGAGAGTTTCCCAGCTAAGCTGTGGTGGAAGGAGGGTTATTACTAATGACTCTCACATCCCTGAAACCAGCGTTATGCCTAGACTGATAAGTAAGACTCCTGCATTGTTTTGCACTGAAAACGGATGTCATCCCTCATCACAGTAGGCCTAAACACTTTCCTACAATGGTAATAACAAAGCAGAACCAGTGGAAACAACAAAATGACAGTAATCTTATTATTCAGTCCAAAGGCTCTCAGAAACACCGCAGGAAATTGTTGTTGTGTCACAAAAACTTTAAATAGCAGTAGCCTAGCCCAGTGCTTATGTATCTTTTTTCAACAGGACAGGCCATGAACTTTAACCTTTTCAGCCAATGTGATCTGATAGTTACTTTATAGGATACTTTTCTAAATGGAATTTAGCTGTGGTTTTTTATGTGCATTTTGAAGTAGACTATCTCATTAGAAAAGGTTGATGGAAACGGCAGCTTTCCCAAACAAAATCCTTAATTTCGCAAAAAAGTTTTTACGCTCGCTTGAGGTGTTTTTTGCCTTTGTCGAAAAAGAGTAAATGCGCTAAATGGGAGGTGGAAACACTTGCCGAATAAGTATGAACTCATCTGATCAGCTGTTTCCCCCAAGTGAAAAAGAAATATACTTAAGTAGCACTTTTTTGGATGCACTTATTTTAATTGTACTATACTAAGTGTATATTAAATGTGTTATTTTGGAAATACTTAGTCAACTTTAAGATAATTGCAATATATTTTAATATACTTAGTTGTGTTAAAATGGACCTATTTTAAGTACCTTTACTGTAATTTAAATATACTTTTTTTAAATTGAACCATTTTGTGCTATACTTGAAGAACAGTTTAAATATATTTTAAATGTGTTCCCTGAACATTTTTATTAGCATTTCAGCATATTAGTAATTTATTACTAGTATACTCCAAGAGCCACTATTAATATCTTGGGAAGCTGCTTTATGAAACCATTCAGTGTGAGAATAATGCATCATTAATGCATTAAAAATATCTTGCAAAATGCCTTTTTAGCATAATAAAAAAAATTAGTTTAAAATGTATTTTACAACACACACACATACAGACAACAAAAAACTTTAATTTTTGTTTACATTACAAAAAGAAATTCCTGTACATTAAAAGGTACAGCAGCATGTATCACATCTTGACCAAAATACCTTCAAATAAAAATAAAATCAGTAAAATGATGACATATGATCAGTATTACTGAAAAGTACACTATACACATCCCATCATTAATGTTACCCATGGGGGTCCCTCACACGGTCCGGACTCTGGGCACAGCTCAGATGACCTCACGGCCGTCCCACTTCTGACACCATATGTGGACAAAGGCGAGAGCAGTCACCCTGCCCAGATTCAAACACAGGTCTACAGGGTACCAAACATGCAACTCTGACAGCAACGGCAGCCAGGCTCGTTGGTATGGCAGTCCAAGCGCTTACTCAAATGTGGTGGAGGTACTCGTCACAAGCATGCAGTACAAATGGTGGAACCAAACTGAAACTGAAAAATGTCACAATCCTTATCCTGTGGAGTAGAGGGTCGGTTATCGTTGAGTAGGACTCGTTGCATTTACTGCGACTGCACAGCATCTGTGGAAGGGAAAAGGAAATATTTTGTCTATATCAAAGCAATATTACCTCTAATGAATTAATAACCATTGTCTGATTTTTAATTTTGTTTAAAGTTGCTGAAACACAATATGACATCATGTCTAACTGTTCTGATAATGCTAACTTTTTAGCTTCAGGTGAAATGGTATTCCACAAGGACCCCTCCCAGCTCAGTTCTTCCATTACAACATGATCAAAAACATTACATAAACACTACTGTACATTCAGCCAAGGAGCTGTAATGATAAAACAACAAATAACACAAACATTCAGACTTGCTTAACAACTGTGCTGTCTACATGTCATTTCACATTAACACAGCAGTCAATTTGTGAAGTACAAAAGTAGCCAATTATTTAATGTAGAACAATATTTTAAACAAATATTCTTGTGAAAAAATATTTATTTAGTCTGACCCCGTTGACATGTAGTGAGAGCAAGAACACTGATGGTGTGCAGGAGCCAGATATACGTATGAGCACATTGAGCTTGTGAGGGTCCAGCTGGTCCTTTGAGGATTTCGTGGCCTCTAAGCCATCTGAGTGAGGCAACGATCCCAGGAAGCCCTAAAAGAAACAAAATGCAGTTGCAAATGAGATATAATAAATATTCAGACAGGCCAGTACTTCCACCTAGTTTAGTTCTTTATTTGCCTTTCATTATAAACACTGTAATTCTATTCTTATAGCAAATCTTTATTATTATTCTTTATTTCATTTTCTTGAGCTAAGGCAGGAAATTCCAACTGTGGGTTTAGCATTAAGTTGGTTAAAGTTGGCAAATGGTAGGTTCAACTTTTATCAGTGGAATTCAGGATCTTTGACCATACAAATGTACATAAAGGAGCGCGCAGCTTTTGCAGAGAAATTTCATGCACCCGCGGCAGACGGTGTGCGTTTTGCGATCCTTTTTCAGAGGGCACAACTGACACCTCTTTCTCTTGCC